ATATTAAATGCAGTACTTGCCTTTCTTATCACTGTTAACAAATACCTGAGAAGAGGCAACTTCGGGGAAGAAAGGTTGGAGCAGTCTCAGTTCATCACCATGGGGAGGACGTGGTGGAAGAGTTTGAGGATATTTGCTTGTATATAGGTAGATCAGGAAACAAAGGGGGAATGATCACACTCAACTGGCCACCTCCTTTGCCCTTCCTTTATTGAGTTCAGAACCTCAGTCAAATTAGATCCATATTCAGAGCAGATCTCCCAACTCAATTAATCCTTTCTGGAAACTCACTCTACTCTCGGTCATACCCTAAAGTGCACCTCATTATTGCCAAAGAAATTTCTTAATCAAATAAAATTAATATTCAAAATAAACCATCACAGTGCCAATGACATGCAATCGTTTTAGTGATCAACTGACTTTCTTCTAGAAACTTCACAATGAATGACATATAGTTTGAAAAGTCAACAAACTAAGGACTATCTGCTTTGTAGGTGTTTTTATTCTGTTAAAATTGTTGGTGCATTTTAACTTTAAAATAGTCATTAAATAAATGCATCTCAAAAAGCAACTAGTAGGATCGTACAGCACATCTGATAATGAACACGGGGCCCTCCAGCCTGCCTTCAGTCCCATCTTCTAGACACACCTTCCTTAAGTCACTTCTCCTTTCTTTTACACTGGTAATCTTTTATGTTTTTATTGTTTGATACTATCACACAGTTATGTAATTAACTTTTATTATTTTCCCTCCTTGTTCCCCTTTCTCCTCTCTTCCTTCTCTCTTGGATGCTTCTTTTTAACAGTCTCTTACCTACTTTCATGTCTTTCTGTTTGTCTCAGAGTTTAATTAGAATTTCTTGCCAGGGCATGGGTGGGAGATAATTTACTAGAGCATGGACAACTACCCAGTGACTATACCCTAAGAAATGATACCACCTCTTCCAGTAAGCATTAACTGTCAGTACCTCAGGGAGCACCCCAACATCCTCCAGGGTGAATTGTTGAGGGTCTTCAGTAGATAGATAACCACAGCTGTAAGGAATTCCCGAGTGTCATAGTTATGTAATGAACAGAAAACGTCTTTTTGTTGGACATCTTCCTATCCTCTGTCTTGGTGTTAATCTTTGGAATACTTGAGAAGACTTATTTTTATCCATTTCTTAATGGCTAGACTACAATCAAAATCGGATGCCTACTTCATATTTAGCAATGAACCGTAGCTTGCATACACTGCCCCTTCTCCAATCAGTTACTGATCTCGTAGTTTTCAATTATTTTCTTATTACTTAGAAAGCATTGATTAAATAATTACCTTTTTAAGGCATAGTCTCACGGAGCAGGGTGATTTCAAAGTTCAGGCTCATGAGTCTGTGATTATGGTCTTGTACCCTCATACCCAGATAGAACATATTAACCCCCCCCCTTTTTTTTATTTTAACAATGTTATTTGCTGGATAAATTCTCTTCTAAATAAATGAATACTGATTCAGTCTCCATCTTTTCTCCTCAATCATACCATCAATTTATTTTTGAAAAATTTTTTATTGTAGCAAAATGTGTAAAACACAGACTATTCCACCTTCACCATCTTCCTGTCTGCCATCCAATGGTGTGGAATACACCCATGACACCCATGATACTGGCACCACCACTCAGTATCTCTGGTTAAAATGAGAGCTCCACATAAATTAAGTCATACAAGCCTGCCCTTTTATATTTTGAATGTGATATGCAAAGGTTCATGTGTGGAAATCATTTTACAGGGAACTGGGTGTTATAATTTCTTACAAGGTTGGGTCCAGGAGAAAAGGTCTGGGTATTAGAGCACCAAGTTTAGAAGGTAATAATGTTGGTTGCAGGGAGTGATTTGGTTGTGATAAAACAAGCATGCCCCAAATGCTTTCCCTTTCTGCACTCAGACATCCTTCCATGTTGTGACACAACTAAGTTGCCCTGCCATGGTGTTATATCGTTTATTTTTCCACAAGAATCACAATGCAACGAAATATCTTTAATTTATAAAGACCCAATCTCAGGAATTCTATTATAGAAAACAAGGAAGTAATATATTCCCCATAACCTCTTCTTCTCTCTACAAATCTGATCACTCTACTTATGCAAGTGCAATCAGACATGATTTGTCTGTTTGTTGCTGGTGTATTTCATCTGGCCTCATGTCCACAGTGTTCATATTGTAGTATGTGATGGAGATCATTCTTTTCAAAGTACAAATAATACTCACAGTATGTATGTGTTTGAATATTTTTCCATTATGTTAATCCATTCATGACTTGGATTGATACCTTGTTTTAAGTATTGTGAATAATACTGTCATGTACTAGTGGATCCTGTACATGATATGAGAAACTAAAATACTGTGTTTCACAGTGACTGCCCAACTTGTAGGAATGAATTTTACAATATGGACACAATCTAGCTTAAAGATTTTCACCTAACTTTGCAACTAAGTTACTTTGTATAAATTTAAACAAGCTCATTGAGCCATGTGCTCCTCTTGGTATCTGACCTTAATCCCACAGGACACCACCATGGCCTCCACTCAAAATAAATGTGTGTATGCATGCTTTACATGTCAAAAATACTAAAAGCAGCATGCTTTTCTCATTACAAACAACAAAAAATCTGTTTGTTGTTAATGTTGCTGTTGTTGCTGCTGCTACTGCTGCTGCTGTGTGTATGTGTGTGTGTGTGAGAGAGAGAGAGAGAGAGACAGAGACAGAGAGACAGAGAGAGACAGAGAGAGACAGAGGGAAAAAGAGAGAGATTTAGCTTTAAGGATCAAAGAGAGTAAACTTTTCTGCTAAAACAAAGATAGGAACTGGCCTCTATTTTTGTCAGTTCATGCTGGAGACAATGTTTCAGTAAAAGAATAAGGAAGCCTGGCTCAGGAGCACAGTTTCATACTGATAGACATACAAAGGATGAGTGTTCATCTGTTTCCCTCTGCTATTGGACCAATGCTAGGAGTGAAACTGCTTGATTATTCAGGTATAACTGTAATATGGCTTAGCAACACCACATCACTTTACACCCAGCCAGTGGAGCTGTAGAACTTTGATTACACCATTTCCCTCCTGGAGAGAACAAGGATACAGGTAACAGGCCCCAACTCTAGCTTAGGAACTATTGGCAACTGGTTACTGCTGGGTGAGGGAAGGTAGATGCTTTTTAAGGGAGAGACTCTAGGTAGGCTGACTGGAGTCCAGTGGATGAACTGGCACTGAAGGACATCTGGGTACAAATGCCTGCCAGGATGGCACTTAACATTTATGGTGGAATACATGTGGTCCAGTGGGGATGGGGTACATGGATGGGAGAGGAGGTCTAAATTTGATTAAGAACTGTTATATGAAATGCACAAAATCTCAATAAAACAGATGAAAAGAATTGAGCTGAGGAAATGGAAGAGATTGTGTAATGGGTAAGAATTAGAATGCACTCGGGTCTTCTCACTTTCCCATTTCCATTCTTTTCCCACTACTTCATATGTAGCTATCTGGGTAAATCGATCAGTTAGAATCCTAAAGATGTCAACATCGTTCCACTTACAGGAACCCATGAGAGGAACAACTTTGGTATTCGAAAATATACAATCTCAATAAGAAAGTGAAAAAAGTCTTTAAAGAAAGAAATTAATTTTAGAAGTACATATGCAAATATATTCTATTTATCACTTTTAAGCATCAAGCATCAATGTTGTCTCAGTATTGTCACAATACTGAAACTGTTATCAAGACTGTAAAACTAAATTTTTCTTTAGGTAATGAGTACAAGTTTTGTGTGAAAGTGAATATTTTATCATTCTTTCATCAAATAACTGACTTCTACAGCATCTTCACAATTTTAGTTCCTCAACATCTTCAGCGAAATGAAAAGGATCCTGGCCTTCTCTCTTGGAAAAAAGAATTCGTAATTCTATATCATCTATCTATCTATCTATCTATCTATCTATCTATCTATCTATCATCTATCATCTATCTATCTATCATCTATCTATCATCATCTATCATTTATCTATCATCTATCTATCAATCATCTATCTATCTATCATCATCTATCATCATCTATCTATCATCATCTATCTATCTGTCATCTATCATTTATCTATCTATCTATCTATCATCTATCTATCTATCTATCTATCTATCTATCTATCTATCTATCATCTATCCAATCTATCTATCTATTTACTGTGTGTATGCGTGTATGCACACATGAACCTGTATTTGTGGCAATCAGAAGACAACTTGTGGTAGGATTCAAGTCACTTCTTCCACTATGTGGTGATCAGACTCAGGTCCTAAGGCTTGACAGCATGGACCTTTACTCACTGAGTCATTTTGAAAACCCATCTACTGTATGTTCAAGGTAATTACATAAATGTGTGAGAGGGACATCACATTGTCATTTAGACACTGTCTTAGTTATTTTTTCTTGTAGCTCTGATAAAATACTCCAACCAAAGCAATTTAAGGAAGAGAGGGCTTACTATGGCTCATATTTGAGGGTTCAGTTCATCATGGCCATAAAATCAAGGTATCGGGAGCTTGCAACAGCTGGTCACATTGTGTTCACAGAAAGAAGAGTGAAGGAATTCTGTGCTCAGCTTGCTTTGACCCTTTAATTTAGTCCAGGACTCAAATCTAAGTGTGCTGTTGCCTAATTTTATGCTGGGTCTTCCCATCTAATTAACATAATCAACACAATCCCTCACAGACTTGCTCACAGACTTGACTCCCAGAAAATACTAGATTCTGTCAAGCTGGAATTTAACGCTGGCCATCACAAGCACCATGGCTTTCATCAGATTGCTGGAGGTGAGTTAGCTGCTTCTCTTTCCACACTGAAGCTCATTATTATGTGAATTACATTGGCTTCTTCCCCTTCATTTCCACCACTGCCATTTTCTACTAAAGGACTCAAGATACAGTTCATTTGTTTTATTTTATTTTATATTTTTATTTCATTTTATTCACACAGAAAGTTACATGCATGTTCTATATTGATAAATGCACTTAATTTTTCTGAGGCAGATTCTGAATAACTCGTTCAATCTGGTCTTGAACTCAAAATTATCCTTAGCCTCCCAAGTTTTGCGATTAAGCTCTTGCACTATTGCCATTGCAAAGTCCCTTCTTCAAGGTAAAAAATATGGAAATATGCCTGGTTGCCTGTTGCTTCTGCAGAGGACACACAGAACAGAAGGTCAACATGGTTACCCTGCTCAGACTCCATCTCTCACTCAGCCACTGCAATTCCTCTGAGCCCTGTAGTCTTGCTATGGCCATGACCTCCATCCAGATTCTCTGTAGTCTACTTAGGAAAGAGAGATATCCCTTAACATAGGAATTAACTTAAATGACAACAGAAGTTTTAGCACATTTTAATGTATTTCAATAATCACCGCTCTGAAACTTGTGCTGTTCGTGATTGTGGTTGTGTTTGCCTTACACTTTCTTACAACAAACGATGTCAACCAAAGTTAATTTGATCATCCAAGTCATCAGGTCTCATTGATTATAGGAGATCACCCATGTCCCTTTCTTCTTACTTTGTCTGATAGCAAGAACTATAGCAATTACTATTTTCAGTTTCCAGGAAAGAGGTAGAAACGTCTTGTCAGGCTTGCCCGGTCAATGGTGGGCATCTGGAAATTAATGCTTGGTTTTTCAAATGATAGTTGCACCTAAAACCAAAAATAAGCTCTGCATGAGATAAACTTTATATATGATCTGAAAACCATTGTACTACAAGGCGGAGGTGCAAGAATGTCAGTTGATCCAGGGACTGATGACACCGAGCTTAGGATATTCTAATTCCTTAATGCTGACACCTCTTAGCATTACCAACCCATTTAAGATGATACACTACTTAAAAATAAACATCTTGCCAGGCATGGTGGCACATGCCTTTAATCCCAGCACCTGGGAGGCAGAGGCAGGCAGGTCTCTGTGAGTTTGAGGCTAGCCTGGTCCATATAGCAAGTTTCAGGCCAGCTGGGGTTACAGGGAATCCCTGTCTCAAAAAGACCAAAAATTAAAAAATAAAAATAAAATTTTATCCCTAATATCAAATCTTCCAATCATTTCCTTTATTATTTCTGAATCAGTAAACTTACAATTAATTATTGTTTGAGATGTGTACATTAGAATTTAATTTGCAAAATTATCCTTTCTTTAAATCCTACCCAAGCTGAGACTTCAATTGAAATAGATTCAAATCTCAGCATCTTGTATTTAGTTTGAACATCAAATAACTATCAAAATTTCACATTTATAAGGGGCTGACTTCTGAAATATTTTGCCTGGACTGACCAGTGACTTCCTACTTATGCTAAACAAACTAATTGTAGTGTTGTCTTAAATATATTCTTGACAGTGTGATGTCTAATTCATAGTCATTTAACAAGACTTAACATCCTAGGTCACTATTCACATAAACCCCAATTTGTACTTTTCCCTGACCTGGGAAATTAGATCTCTTTCTCACAAGAGCTACTGTCCTATAAATCTTGAATTTAGAAATGGTTTTCTTGTATTCATAACAATCCCCTTTCTTTGCAAAAGTGATGCATCTGTCTTTTTACTTATGCATCTAATTATTAATAGAATAATAAATGGATATTCCTCATGTACTAGGCATTTTGAGAACCCCCAAACCCCTGTGTTCTGGAATCTTGCATTTTAGTGAGAATATTTAAAAGTAAGAAAAAGATATGCAAATAATAACATACAGATGAAGAGCAATGAAAAAAAATTAAGAATGAGTAGGGAAAAAGAAATATTCTAAGTAGAAGGAATATTGAGTTTTTCCCTCTGGATATTCAATTTAAAGAGCATCTTTATTCGCTTTCCTTTTTTATGGATGCTATCATAAACTGAAATTGAATGTTTGCTTGTTAACCACCTATTTAGCAGAAATTTCCTCATAATGAGAGTTCTGGAAGGCTAATACCCATATCTCACTTACTGCTGTGTAATGACTGAAATATGAGATGTTCACTAAAGACCCACATGCTGAATATTTGGTCCCAAAATGGGTGGTATTATATTTGGAGACGCTGGAAAGTCTAGAAAGTAGAGCTTCCTTAACGAATTCTGTCATGGCAGTGTGACTTTGAAAACCGTATCCTGCTCCCAATGTGTTCCTTGCTTCTTGATTCCCCAGCATAGCCCCTGATAACATGGTGCTTGTTGTAAATACAAGATACCAAGCATCCTTGCACTGCACTCTCCAAAGCGATGAGTCACAATAAATCTTCTTTCAGTTGTTTCTGTTTAGTGTTTGGTCACATGTAGGAAAAAGTGTGCTAGTACACTGTCACCAGTGTAGAGCAGTCTTCAGCAGAACATGAAATATCCATTTCTACTAAATTCATAAATTGTTTTAAACAAATTTCATTCTCTGAATTTTGAGAACTCATAGTCTGGTAGCACATAACATGCAAGGTTATATTTTATGTATTTTATGTATGTATGTATGTATGTATGTATGTATGTATGTATGTATGTATGTATTTTATGTACTTTGTTTTCTCACTGTGGTGTATCGACATCATTTTTTAAACTAAACATTGAACATGTGATTGAAAGAAAACAGGTACCAATTTACTTTTTCATACGCATGAAAAATAAACAGCATGTGGAAAAAAATAGCAATAACTTCTTTCTGAACAAATAATTGAATGACCATAAAAAGAGAAGAACTCACCTTCTGAAATATATCCAGTAGATGACAGGACCAGGCATATTTCTGGAAGCAGGAGATGAGTTTGATGATGAAGTAAGAGCCCTCTTCATCTCTGTAGGACAAATTATCTGGGAAGATAGAAAGTGATAGTCTTTGGCACAATGTCTTGTACTACTTTATTGCATTTTTTCTGTGAGATTTTTTTGAAGGAGAACTTGATAATAACTTTTACAGTGTGTTAAAGAGAAGCACTGATAAGCTCACACTAACTTATTTGTACAGTAGCTTGTTTCCTACATAGAAACAAACAAACAAACAAAAACAAAAAACTGGAAAAATTGTAATATGTAGGAAGCTTGTCAGAATTGGAAGAAATTGTGTGGTAATGCATTGGGATTCTTGCAGCTGCCTACATCGCAGGAATTAAATGACAGCAAATGGCCTACTGACTCTATTATGTCATGATTATTTTTAAAATATAACAAAGTGGATGAATAAAATCAACATTTCAATTCTAGATGATCAAGTCACAGATGCTGCTGTAGACCCTCCTGTATCATAGTCTTTTATAGACAACAATACTGCAGTATCCACTTCAAAATTTTCTAAGAGTGTAGATTTCATGCAAAGTGTTCTTATCTAAAACATATGCAACAATAAAAATACATGATAAAGGATGATGCTTTGGGGGCCAGGTGTGTATATGACATCTTTGTGGTAATGGTGCCTTACACATACTTCCAAACTCATAAAGCTGTAGACAGTAAATCTGTGCAGTTTTTGATAGTCAAATTTCCCTCTGTAAACCATTATTAAAAGTATGGATTGAAAGTTTGCAAACTACAAAGAGTTAATATAAGGCTCCTGAAGAGGAGAGTATCCAGAGACCATGTAACATCCACCATTCCAAATCTCCAGATTCACAGAATCTTACCATGACCTTCTCCAGAGCTTTTAGCAGGGTGCCCCCGTTCTAGTGGACCATGTCACAGAATCATCATACCTAGAATTTGACAAGAAGTATGCAAAAGGGCTTGGAGGCTGAGGGTATGAGAAAGGAGTCAGTCCTGTGATTCGTAAAACCGTATTCAAGAATGTTAAAGGGATCTGATCAGAAAATGAATCAGTTATTCATTTTGAATGGTGTGACGTCAAGGGATGCCTTGTGTGGGAAAACCTTAATCATTTTGTATGTCTTTTTCTATATACTGCAAGACTTAGTAAAAGTTCAGTTTCAAAACAGTGTAGGGAAACCCATTGCCTCAGAACAAAGGTAAGATTAGTTTATTGATGTATTTATTAATTTCACTCAAAATTTGTCTGAGAGAATCTGCATAAAACCAAAATTGAAGTTTTTGAAATATTAATAGGTAGCTCTTAACCTGTGAAACTGTTAGAATCAAAAAAATGAACATACGTGGAGTTGTGGAGTAGAAGGCTATGAAGTCTTTCTCTACGTGGCTCAGCTCAACAGCATCTGGTTCCACATTCTTGGGTAGTTCTGCAGCGCTGAAGACCCTGGCTTTTGGATCCTTTCTGATCCATACTTCTCCACGATTTTCTGTAGAGACATGAACTTACTATTACTGTGCCTCACTCTGTGAGACTTTCACAGTCGCTGACTTTGGTCTTTATTGACGATCATTCTAATTAAACTACCTATACACACACACACACACACACACACACACACACACACACACACACTAAGAAGGAGAGAGGGCAAGACAGAAAAACGCGCACTCATAAGTACAGACAGAAAGGCTCAAACACACAGGAACAGAGAAGACTGCTTTCCCATTAGTCACTAAGAAACTACCTTATTACTGATGACAGGATTGTCATTAAAGTAAAAATGCAGTATCATGAAACTGGAAGGACAGACATGTTTCCTAAAAACAGCAAAGAATCCACAGATGAGCTGTCATTCCAGTGCACAGTTTCCTGGTTTTAGCTAAATTACTTCTGCTTCTTAACTATTATTTTTGCTTCCATAGGGTAACTGGAAGTTAAAATCAGCATTGAAGTTGGATGTGGTAGTATATGATCATAAAACCAGTTCCCAGGAGACTAAGGCTTGCGGGATGCTCTGAGTTCTAGGCAGCTGTATCTACAAAGCAATTCCTGTCTTGAATCAATAAGATAAAATAACCTAATAAAATAAGTGAAGACTCTGGGCTGGAGAGATGGCTCAGAGATTAAGAGCACTGATTGCTCTTGCAGAGGACCTGAGTTCAATTCCCAGCACCCACATGGCGGCTATGAACCATCTATAACTCCAGTTCCAAGGGATCTGATGCCCTCTTCTGGATCTTGCAGGATTGTATGGCATTGGTGCACTCACATACATGCAGGCAATACACTCATACACATAAAATAAAAATAATAAATAAAATATTTAAAAAATAAGTGAAGACTACGTTAGACGTGCCTGCCCACTTATGATTATTGCTGCACTATTCATGAGAGTAACTTGTGGAATCAGACCAGGAGCTCATTTAAAGATGAATGGATAAAGACGAAACTATAAGATAATGAAGCATTATTCAATAGAAAGGTCAGAATTCTGCTATTTGAAGGAAAATAGGTGGATGTGTAGGCCATCGAAATAGAAAACAAGCCAGACTAAAAAGAGAAATACCAATTGATTTTTCTCATGGTCTGCATCTAGACTGAAAAGTGAAGACATGAAATTTGAAGTGAGTCTATTTCAGAAGAGAAAGAACCAGCAATGGGGAATGGGAAAGAAGAGAGTGTGTGTGGTGGAGCACAATCAAAGGATCGTACATGAATGTATGAAGTTTTCATGATTTATATGTGCTTAAAAGGCCAAAAGGGATAAATTTTCATAAAGATCACACCTGGTTTTAGATTTTGTATATAACTATTAATATACAAATTGTACCAGTTAATATTAATTACTATGATGATGAACTCTGCCTTAACAATTTGCACGCTCATCTCTGTTGACCCTCTACTTCTGTTTCATCCTCCTCCTGCTACTTCCCCCACTTCCTATTCACTTCTCATCCTGTAAGAGAACCCCTTCTTTATTCAGATTATGTTTTTATATTTATTTATTTATTTTTAAAGTGATTTTTTGATATTTTCATACAGTTATAGTTTAATGGTATTTAGATTCCCTCCCCATCTTACCCTCCACCACTGCCACCCATTAAAGTTAATGTATACTCATATATATACATATGTATAGCCTATAGATGCTACTTTGTGTCCCCAAATGTCCTTCAGTGTAGGTCCACCCACTGGGCCAACCAAGAGTCCCAACCCTGCAAGATACTGAGTTTTACCCTCCCAGCAGAGATCAATTGTCCAAGGTTCCTTAGATTGGTGCATGATCAATAAGGAAACAGTCTTCAAGGCCTCTGGGAACTTGCTCATCTAAACTTACAACAGTGATGTCAGCATACACGAGACCCATGTTGGCTCAATCAGACAAAATCCCAGCATATAACTGGGGACATAGGCAGCAGGCCCCAACCTTAGCTGAAGAACTGTTGACAATTGATTACTGTGGGGAGAAGGTGAGTTGATTTTCTTTAAGGGAGAGGGTCTAGATAGACTGGCTAGACCCTGGTGGATGAACTTATACTGAGGGATGTCTGGGTACACTAACTTGACTTGATAGGTCTTAATATATATGGCAAAATGCATGAATTTGGTGGGGGAGGCAAGAGGAGGTGCATTTGGGGGAGGGGATATAAAAATGTTTAAGATGTTTTGTATGAAGTATTCAAAAATGCAATAAAAATGTACATTGAAACAAACACTTCCTTAAGTTGGGTTGGAATTTCTTACCTACTCCCCCATATCGATGCTAAGATTTTGTCTGGTTTGACCTTGCAAATTTTTCATGAAATTTCTACATGGATCTGACCAATAACATTTAATAATTCTCTTCCTGTGTTTGGTTTATTATGTATAACCTGGAAAATTATTGTTATGCCAATTTTCCTTCAAATTTCAGGATTTTATTTCTCTTTGACCTTATAGCATCTCATTGCACATAAACACAATGTTTTCTTGATCCATTTTTCTGTTGGCGGAAACCTATGCTGATTATATAACTTAGCTATTGGGATTAGGGCCTTAATAAGACAGCCATGTCCACAGCTCTATGGTATGGTGACTTTGGTTACTTCAAGTATATATTTATGAGCTGTAGAGCTAGATTGTACTTAGTGGCCCTACTACTTTATACTGCTTCCCACAGGTTTGTTTATTCTTACCATCCATTTGTTGCTTATTTTGCCATTCTGACTCCAGTCAGTTAGAAACCAAATACAGTTCTGGTGTCCACTTCCTTAATGTCTAAAGATATTGATTATATTTTCATTTGTTTATTAGCTATTTTTACTTTGTATATTGAGAAGTATCTGTTCTGATTATTTAACTGTTTTTGACTAGACTGAATGTTAAAGGTTTGAGTTCTTTATGGGATGCATAAACTTTGTCGTAATCAATCCTCTGCTGTTGTATAACTTGCCATTCTGTATCTGCAACTTGTGCCTTCATTTTGTTGTGTTTTGTGATTATTTCCTTTACTATTCAATTTTTTTGTGCTTGTTTGTTTATTTGATACATAGAGGGATTAAACACAGGGATACATAGAGGGATTACTACAAGATTGGGAAATGCTCTACCACTAACGCTTATGCCCTTAAAGTTTGTTCTTGCATTCTTACATTTTGATACAGGGTCACAGTAAGTAGCTGGCTTTGAACTCTCTCTGTAGATCAGGCATGTCTTGAACCTCTGAGCCAATGGACTCACCCACCTAAGTCACTAATATTATAGGCATACAAGTTCATGCTCACATAAGAAGCACTTTTTATTGTGTTTATATGGTATACGTGCTTGTATGTGCATGGCTGCAGTACAAACTCACATGACTGTAGCGTGGCATGTGTAGGTGTGTGCACACACACGTGAGGCATGAAGACAGCATTGGCCATTGTTAATCAGATGCCAACATTTTGTTTCTTGAGTTAGCATGTTTTGCTGGCTTTGAACTTGCCAAGTAGACTAATCTAGATGGCCACTGAAACATAAGCATCTACCACCAGGATCCATATCTCTCTGCCTCCCAAGTGCTGAGAAAAGAAACTTGTATATTCTGTTGATAATAGAAACACTATTCATCATGTGTTGTAACTTTCATATTGCTTTGCTGCCTTTATGGCTTCATAGTTCATCTATTGATGAGGGTAGGGTGTTGATGTCAAGCACAATTATTGTATTGAGGAATTGTCCCATTTTCAAATACATCTCTATGTCAAATAATGTAAAAAAAAAAAAAACACGAGTAAAATAATAATGAAGGTTTGAAGTGTTCTAAGGCATTTCCTCTCATCTGTCCAGAGCTTTCTCATTCCCAGTAGTTATGTGTTAGTTCTTGTGTTATAGTCATGACAATTTTTTTCAGGACCAAATATTTCTGTCAAACTGATTTAAGGATTCTCTAAATTTCCCTCATCACAAGCTGGGCGTGGTGATGCACACCTTTAAAATGTGCACTTGGGAGGCAGAGGCAGGCGGATCTTTGTGAGTTCGAGGCCAGTGGGTCTACATAGTGAGTTCCAGGACAACTGGGGCTACAGGCAGATCCTGTCTCAAAAAGACAAAAAAAAAAAAAAAAAAAAAAAAATAAGATTATATAAAACTTTCTCAATAAACCAGGCAAATTGTCATGATACCACAATTGATAGAAATTCCTATTAATTTCATTAACTTATATAAGCTGAATTTGGCCCAAGATTATTTCCTCCAAATGTAAGACCCATGTTTCATTCCTCACAGCAGATGGTCCATGTCAGAACTCACCACCTCTGCAGGCCTGCACGATGATGACCTTGGGTTTGTCTCTTAGTCCCGGACAATTGCAGTTGTTGAATATCTGATAGACGGTGTCATAATGTAGCACATCAGCACTTTCATTACTGTGCATAACGCCACAGACTCCATGCAGCGTGCCATGAGACATTAGCACCAAGAATGTGCTGTCTGAATTTGTGTGCTCTGGGAGGGCAGCAAAGTCCTTCAGCTCAGACTCCATACCCTGGAAAAGAGCAAGGTCTTCCTTCAGTAGGCAAGTGTTGAAATTAATCTTATATTCTCATTTTGGGATAAAAAAATATTGGAAATACAAGTCTGATATTTACATGGTGGCTACTCAGTTATTTTACTTTATCTTCTTGATGGAATAGTGGGTTCCAGCTTTCTATGCCTGGCAATACATTATACACTGTTTCTATAATATATCACATGATTGTGTCTTGTATGACCTGTTCTTCTCCACTTCTAAGTTTTCTCTTCTTATATACTGAGTGGCTTGTGTTGCGGTATGTTATTATTGTTCTTGAAAAATCTTCCCATGTTCTTAGAATTAAATTAAACTTTGGGCCTCACTCCTGCTTTTTTTCCCATCTCACCTTCCTCAAACTCCAGTATTCATTATCTTGTGTTTTCTTGTACCAGTTGTCCTCTCAATTTAGCCTCTATGTACTTAGAGGTCTCTTCTTGGAAGGCACTATACCTCACATATACCCAGAACTTTCTTATTCCTAATAAGTATGTTTCAGCTTCTGTGTTACTGTGGCGAAAGTTTCCTAAGATTTGCATCATCATTCCCTGCCCCCCACTCTCCCGTTTTCTCTCGTTCCCAGTTTCCATTTTTCTTTCAGTGACAACTGACTTTTGTTATGTTGACATGTACATAGCCAAATCTCTAAGTGAGTTTTTTCTTACACTGAATTGCTAAATTTGTATACTAAATTACATTCCTTCATAGTATGCTTACAGGACATTTCCAGTCTCGTTTACAAACCTGTCTCCACTACCAGAAAGAGCTCCTAGTACCAAGTCAGAGATAATACTTGCTTTATGGGTGCTCTTGGTCTTAATACTCGTTACTCTGTGAATTTCTGGGGCTGAATTTCCCCATTTTGGAATTAACTAAGGATATGTTTTTCACCTATGTGAGTAACTTTTTTCTGCAGTTCTTGGAACTGAAGATATTTGAAAGTAAAATAAGCACAGATTTCATCTCTCATTTGACAATTTAGATAACACACAGGTAGATCTCTCTCTCTCTCTCTCTCTCACACACACATACACAGACACACACACACACACACACACACACACACACACACACACACACACACACACACACACATGTACCTGCTTGTGTCCAGAGGTTGATAGATATTTTTTTAACATTGTAAAAATCAGCTCTGAGTAGGAGACTATGTATTTTCTCTGTATAAGATTATAGTAGGGGTATGGCCTCTTACCTTACCTGTTAGGTCCTCTTACCTTAGCTGTTAGATTCTCTTTCAGTACCACAGTATAGCCCAGGTCTTCAAGAAGACGATTCATTCCTTTGGTGTCAAAAATAGCCCCTTGCCTAAAAGGAAGATGCTTGAACTCTGTATTGCATATGATAAGGGCCATCCGAGTACGACCTTCCCGCTCCTTTATTGGATAGATCTGCGCAAAATGAGCATGCAGTGACTTTGACTTGCCTGAATTCTTTGAAAGCCTATTTGGCCATTATAAATATTGCTTCATTAAACTCTCATATAGTTTCCCTCTCCCTCAAACTTTAGCCAAATATACTGCCTTCTTCTACTTCAAGATCCCCAACCATAAACCAGATTATAACTTGCATAGTTACATGAGAATGTTGGGAAACCCAGAAGAATTGCTGCTCTCTTTTCTTCTTTATTTACCTAATCAAACTTTTCTAGAATTCAAGGTTCAGGTCATATATAAAACCAAAGGATGTTTATCATCAGCTAAGGTTTAAAAAAGTAGTAAAACAAGAAAATTCATATTTGGTAATATTATTTTGAAATTAGCTTTAAAATATCAGCATCATGTTTTGCACACTTTAATATTAAAATATCTTCCGTGTTTATGCTTTTAAACTAGATTACAATTACTACTCAGCTATGTTATTGTGTAAATATTTTGATTTAATGACTGTAGTTAAAATTCTCATAAATCCTAAATATATATGAGAATAAATAAATGAACTAAAATTTGGAACGCGCATTTTTCACTGAATTAAAAATGAATTAGAATCAGGTTTCAGCACCTTAACACACCCCTTAAAAATCATATGTAACAGATGTGGCCATTGTCTATATCCTCTGAGCTCCAATTTTTAAGAAATTGTCTTCAGTTTTTCTATTTTCTCTGTTCCAAGCACAGAGTAGAGTACCTCGTTAGCCTTTACTCTACGCAGTCTCATGAAGTCTTCAGGGGGACAAAGCTTAAGGGAGTCCGCAGATTCTTCTGGTGCCTCTGGTCTCTTCTCTGTTACTGGATCAACTGTAAGATATATCACACAATGAAAATTTTACATGACTCTGAGACCTGATGTCAGCCAAGCATATGGGTTAAAGAGACAGTCCTTGGAGGGAGGAATGCCATGTGACATGCAGACATTACAGTGACGGCTATACTGTACCCAAGGAAAAGTGTTATTCTATGAAAGGGGTAAGTAGGCCTTGACAGAAATGAAGAGGTGATGATTATTGGGAAAACCTCTATAACTTTGGATCAATTTGGCCTTCCCATGTTCAACTAAGATATTTTTATATTTCCGATGACTTTACTCTATAGCACTCATTCATCTTAGTATAAATCCATTGTCTCTTAGCAAGGATGTATTATTTATCAGAGTGTTATCTATTAGAAAATTACAAGAATTGGTATGCGATTGTATACCAATTGTATGTCTTCTAATATCCTAATGAATTAATAAAGAAAATTAATTTTAATAATACTCAGTAAAAAACACCAAACACATTTTCATTTTAGTACGTGTTACTAGCCACAGTTCCAGTATTGCGTCTGACAAGGGCTCTGGCCGCCATCCTGGATGGGAAAACATTCTATGCCGAAGTGAAGACACTCTCCTAACTCACACAGACATGCAGACCAACACTTGAAATCTAGAATCCTTAACTAAAGAAGTGTTTTATTTTTCAGAAGCCTAAGTTCAAATTCTGACCTTTCTAGGAGATACTTGCTTTAATTATCCCTCCCCGACTCATAATGCTATTTAAAGGGTTAACAAAAAGGGTATTGCAACCACCATAAAGGGGCAGTTCCTATTCTATTTTGTTTATTTTTGTTTGATTTATGAAAGATTCAGACATAATTTGATTGTTTTGTCTTCAGAGTGCTGAACACAACAATAATTTTTAAAAATATTTTTGGGAAAGAACTTTATATGTATGAGTATAACGCCTGCATGTAGGTACCTGCACCCATGTCCTGCAGTGCCCACAGAGGTGAGAAGAGAATGTCGGATCCCCTGAAACTGGAGTTATAGATGGTTGTTAGCTAACATATGTATGCTGTGACTCAAGCATATGTCTTCTGCAAGAGCAGTCAGTGCTCTTAACCACTGAGCCATTTCTCCAGCCCCACCAACCAATGTTAGCTGTTAGCCTGTTTTAAAATTCTGGGTAATATTTCACCCTTTTTGAAAAAATTCAATTCTATGACATTTTAACCTGTGACACTATCAGATGTTGCTTAACCTAACTACCAGGATTATGCAAGGAATGGGGACATTGCAGAGCCCTCCTGTATATCAGAGAGGAGGAGGAACTCGTAAACAAATTAGATGTTTACCAAGATCTCACACTACAATGCTTCCTTTCAGGAAAGGAGTGACAATTTGATAATCATGTTCAGCAGTATGAATCAGGAAAGGTATTTTCTCTGTTTGATTTTCTCTAAATTTGAGATGTAGTATTACTGCATAAAATTTTCATTTTTAATATGTGTCATAATATTTTTTCTTTTTCATTCATTATCCTTTGCAGATAGAACTTGGAGTGATGATCTCTGATTCACGTGCTTGACAGGTAGCACAAATGTAGACGTTTAGCACAAATATAACTAATAACTTGGCTTCACACTATCCTTCACTCTGTATGCTCAGGACTTGGCAAGACACTTCAGCATTCACATTCCCACAGTGCTGGCCAAAGTCTTGACCTATTCTAATATCCCATTTTGCCTGGTACTCTGGTTGGCTGGGCCATTGCATTCAAATTGTCCTGGAGTCTCCTTGGAGAGTCCAGTACAAGTAGAGTCCATGGCTCCCCCAGATCGCTCATGAGTGTGATCACATGTGCCTCTTCTCCCTCCATCTCAGTCACTGCTGAGCAGAGAGTTCATTTCTGCTTAGAACTTGGTCCTCGGTGTGATGCCTGAGGTTGTTAAAATCATTTTGAACCTCTTTCTCCAATTCTGATTCCCATTTGTAGCGTTTCTGATTTTGTGGCTGAGAGTTTTTCAGTTTGTGAAAAAGCAACTAGTTGGTTGAATGGGGGTATGTGTTTAGTTTTAGTTATGTTAATTTCATGATCAACAGAACATGTGACCATAAGTAATGAATATGTAATCAGAGACATGAGCCTGGAGCTCAGAGGAGAGAATGCTGGCTGAGAGCTGACATGGTTGGAGCAATCATGTTCCTGGCTGTGAGACACTCCTGGCCTTACAAAGCCATGTGAGGAAGAATTAGAAAGGACCCCATTTCAGAGAAGCCCAGGCTGACGGTACTCACAAATTCACAAGATGACAGAACCACATTTTAAGTGTTCCCTTCTGTAATTATTGTTTGGCTAGTTATTTCTATGAATGGCTTTAGCATTGAACTTTGCCTTTTACCTACCTGGAAAGTGTATGCAACCCTGTGAAGGGCAAAGCGACCTCTAAACGGAGGATTATTTTAGAGAAAAATGATACTTTAGTGATGGAATGGTAAAAAGGTAAAGAGGGAATTGAGTGCAGTGATGGAATAGACTCTGGAAATTTTGAGTTAGTCACTGGCAGTCATGCTTCTCTTACCGTCACCATTGTTGGTATTTTCATCCATATTTAGGAAAGTTTGGAGAAGCACTTGGCCTACTTTACTTTGTTTCTTTTTTATAGTGTCCACAAAGACCCGACGCTTGTCTTTACGGTCAGCGTTGTTAAATTTTTCTTTCTCATCTGCCTCTAATTTCAACACGTTACTTTGCACCACTTTTTCCAAGTACTCTGAAAGTAATTCTTTGCCCACACGTTCCAGCATCTTAAGTGGTTTTGGAGAGTGGTTGCTTTCTGTGGGAGGCAAAAAGACTCATTGAACTGTGGGTTCAGGGAAAGAGTTTTGTCTCACTTCAGGTATAGCCTGAGGACCAGAAATTGATTTTTTAAAAAATGAGATCTGATTTTTTCCATTTCTGAAACAAGTCACACACCTCTTTCATTATACCTATAGAATCATGTTTGTACCAGAACATGCTAATTACTTGTGTGGTAGCTTGTTCTCCTCTTTTGTGGTGTTGCACACGCACTACTTTCATATTTACAGTTCTCTTCCTCACATCCTAGATGACCATGATTCAGCAGGAATGTGCAGCTCAGGGAAGTCTGCCATCTTGTCCAGACACTAAGCTCTTCCCACTGGTTCATAGACTCCTCCCTCTACTCTGCATTTAATCTCTCTGTTAAAAGCAGTATGCTTTTGAATCCTTAATATTTTACCTATACTTATATACACTTTTCTGTGCTTAGAGTGTTTTAAAGGATTTAATTTATTACGAATATATGAAAAAGTAAAGAAAATGAACAAATGCTTTTAAGTCCCAATTCCTCTAAGTTCTTGTTCAAAATAAAAAATTTAGCAGTGTGGCAAACACATTTAATCCCAGCACTTGGGAGGCAGAGGGAAGTGGATCTTTATGAGCTTGAGAGCAGTCTGTTCTACACAGATAGTACCCCGACAGGCAGGATTACAAGTGGGATCATGTACTACCAAAAACCAAAAAATTTTAAAAATTAACCTGATATTACCATTACTCTTAAAGTATCAAAAACAAAACGTTTAGGGAAGTAGTACACAGATATGAGAGTATTATATTATTTTAGTTCTATAGATAAAATGTGGGCAGTGAAAAGGCAGAATATGAAAACAGTCTTCACTTAACTTTCTCAAATTAGTCATCCATTGCTTAAAGTTGTGAAGGTAACACTGAAAAAGAATCATATAGTCAAAGAAAATTTGCCAACATAGAAAACAAAGAACTTTGGCCCAGAAGTAAGGACCCCGTGTTTCCTGTTATCTCGAGTTTTCTTTTAAGAAACGTGTATTGGGGCACCTTGCAGCTTCTCTCCTGGGTTAGTCCAGCATGCCCTCCACATCTTGACTCCTCCAGCCTCATTCACCCTCCCATCTCCCCCACCCATCTTTCTTCCTAGCCTGGGTGCTGTCCCATTCCTTTTCTTGGTACACCAGGCACCAGGGAAACCACCACTGCTTCCTGATTCTTTGAATCCAGACCAACCCAGTTCCTTGTCATGGTCTCAGGGAGCCCTCTAGGCCTGGTCCCACCCTCACCTCCCTCTGCTTCCCTGGGCTGCATGGCCTGCCAGCCTCTTTCCTGGACACTGGGGCTGACCTCTCAGCCAGAGTCACCACTGCTTCCTGATCCCTAGCATCCAGAGGGACTCAGTTCCTACTCCCAGTCCCCAGGAGCCCTCTGGGGTCCTGACATCACCTTCCTCTGCTTCCTAGGGCCTGCTGGACCCAGTGGCCTCTCTCCTGGCTAAGTCCATCATGCCCTCATGCCTTGACCCCCATAGCCTCATTCACCCTCCCATCTCCCCCACCCATGTCTCCTCCTAGCCTGGGGACTGTCTCACTCCTTTTCTTGGTGCCCCAGACACCGGGGGGAACCACCACTGTTTCCTGACCCTTTGCACCTAGACCAACCCAGTTCCTTTTCATGGTCCCTAGGAGCCCTCTGGGCCTGGTCCCACCATCACCTCCCTCTGCTTCCCTGGGCTGTACAATCCACCAGCCTCTTTCCTCAACACCTGGGCTGACCTCTTGGCTTCCTGATCCTTTCCATACAGACCAACCCAGTTCCTCCCTCAGTCCCTAGGAGCCCTTGGGGACTCTTCTTGTCCCCATCTCCCTTTGCATCTCTGGGTGGCATGGCCACCAGCATCTTTCCTGGGCCCAGCTTTCAGGCCAGTCCAAGCCCCAAATTCCTGAGGACATCTTTCCTGGAGGAATTCAGACCTTAGGAGAAAACCTGAGAGCATCTGGTCCTCATCTGACTTGGGCCTCTGTGGGAACTCTGAAGACAAAAGCAATGTGGTCACTCCAATATAAAATCAAAAGAGAGGATAAAGTGGATGAACTAGACCACTCAAGCAAAGATTATGAAAAATTTAAGAAAGCACAAGAATGGAATATGCAGAAATTGTGTGACACCATAAAAAGATCAAACTTACAAATCATAGGCATGCAGGAAGGAAAAGAATCCCAAAATAATGGCATGGACCAGATCTTCAACAAAATCGTAAAAGAAAATTTCCCAAAATAAAAGACATGCCCATACAAATACAAGAAGCATATAGAACACCAAATAGACAGGACCAGAAAAGAAACTCTCCATGGGACATCATAGTATAAACACTAAATGTACAGAACAAAGAGACAATACTAAAAGCTGCAAAAGAAAAAAAAAAAAAAAACAAGTCACATATAAAGGAAAACCCATTAGGATTACAGCTAACTTTTCAGTGTAAACTATGAAAGCCAGAAGAGCCGGGACCAAAGTATTCCCAGTTCTAAATGACCACAGATGCCAACCCAGATTACTATACCCAGTCAAAATGTATATTATAATCCAAGGGGAAAGAAAAATCTTCCATGGCATAAGTAGCTGAAGGAATTCATGTCCACAAAACCAGCCCTTCAGAGAGTTCTGGAAGCAATACAAAGCTGAAGAAAGGAATGACTATACCCAAGGGATTGCAGAAAGAAATTCAATGAATGTATAAATGTGGAAATGTACAGCTATATCAAGAATGTGAACAGAAATAAAAATGACAGAATTCAATACATATCCGTCATTAATAACTTTAAATATTAATGGACTGAACTCCCCAGTCAGAAGACACAGAGTAGGTGAAAGGATTAAGAAACAAAACCCATCTTTTTGTTTTCTGCAAGAAACTCACCTCACTTTCAAGGACAGGCACTAACTTAAGGTGAAAGGATGTTAAAAAAATATACCAAGCAAATGGTACTGAGAAAAAAGCAGGCATTGCAATTCTAATATCTGACAAAAAAGACTTCAAACTAAAACTAATCAGAAGAGATAAAGAGGACCACTTCATTCTCATCAAAGGAACAATAAACCAAGAAGATATTACAATCATGAACATATATTCACCAAACTCTGGTGCACCAAACTTCATAAAATAATACTATGGGACTTTAAGACCCAGATTAATACCAACTCATTAATACTAGGGGACTTCAATACACCACTATCTCCATTAGATAGGTCAACAGGGCAGAGAGTTAACAGAGAGAGATCTAAATTAAACAATACCATATATCAAATGGACCTACCAGACATCTACCGAGTATTCCATCCAAGCACCAAAGGACATACTTTCTATTCAGTGCCTCATGGAAACTTCTCCAAAATCGACCATACACTGGGGCACAAAACAAACTTCAAATACAAAAAGATTGAAATAATTCCATGCTTGGTTTCTATATAGAAATCATGAATTATAGTAGTTGCTAAGAGTAGTCATAAGCAGTACACATTATATCTAAGATACTATAAACATCATGCACCTAAATCTTGGATACTGTAAACTTGATATGAGTTTCAGCTAGTGAGGTAATGTAGTAACCTATTATATCCTTGGTAATTCCCTGGTTACTTTCTGTTAGTGATGTAGCCTTAGTTATTCCTTGGTTACTCCAGATATGATTCCTATATAAGCTTTGTTTGATTCATAATAAACATGCACTTGCACATAGATCTCTGCATCTCCTGTGTCTTGATTTCCGTCCATCAGGGTCTCCAAGCCATTCAGGATTGAACTGTGGTCACTGTACCACGACAAAGATGTACATCCAATACTACTTAATTTAGTCAAAAAGGAAGAAATGGAGGGAGAACTTCCAAATTCCTTCTATAAAGCCAGGATCCCTCTAATACCAAAGCCAGATAAAGATACAACCATAAAGAAAACTATAGGCCCATATCCTTAATGAACATAGATGCAAAAATTCTCAACAAGATACTTGCAAACTGTATATGGACACACATCAAAAGATCATCCACCATGATCAAGCCAACTTTATCCCAGAGATGCAGGAATGGTTCAATATATGTAAGTCAATAAACATCATAAATCATATAAATGGGCTCAAAAACAAGAAGCACATGGTAATCTCAGTAGATGCAGAGAAGGCCTTTGACAAAATCCAACATGCATTTATGTTCAAAGTCCTAGAGGGAATTGGACTGGAAGGAACATACCTCAACATAATTAAAGCCATATATAACAAACCCACAGCCAACCTCATTCTAAATGGAGAAAAATTGGAAGCATTTCCATTGAAATCAGGAACCAGACAAGGCTCTCCACTATCTCTCCTTCTCTTTAGCATAGTGCTTAAAACTCTTGCAAGAGCAATAAGACAAGAGCAGGAAATTAAAGAAGTAATCACTGGAAAAGAAGAGATCAAATTATCCCTTTTTGCAGATGATATGATATATCTAAGAGATGCTAAAAATTCCATGAAAAAACTCCTAGAAATTATTAACATGTTAATTAAATTGGCAGGTTAAAAAATTAACCTACAAAAGTCTGGAGTCTTTCATTATACCAATAACAAACAATCTGAGAAAGAGTACATGGAAACACTCCCTTTCACAGTCCCTGCAAAAAATAAAATAAAATAAAATATCTTGGAATAAACCTGACCAAAGACATTAAAGACGTCTACAAAGAAAAATTTAAATCTTTAAAGATAGAGATTGAGGAAGACATTAGAAGATGGAAGGACCTCTCATGCTCATGGATTGGAAGAATTAATACAGTGAAAATGACCATCCTACCAAAAGCCAATTATAGATTCAGTGCAATGCCAGTCAAAATCCCCATGAAATTTTTCACAGAATTGAAAAAAACCGTCTTAAGATTCATAAGGAAGCACAAAAGACCTTGGATAGCCAAAGCAACCCTAAGCAGTAAGAGCAATGCTGGGAGGATTACTATACCAGATTTTAAGCTGTATT